TCAGAAAAATCAGAAAGGTCCATCAGCAGATCTCAGAGAGAGAACGCCGATGTTTGTGGACAGAAAAGGCTGCTCTGTCTGGAACTTTTTTTTTTTTTCAAGTGGTGGTTCTGAAAAAGGGGAACAAACAAAGCAAAGGAACCTCCCCAGTCGCTGCCTGTCCTCCTGCAAAGGCCTTTTTTGGGCAGGATTGGCCCTTGGCCTCGTGTGCAAGCAAAGAATTGGTCAAACTTCACATTTCTGTGGGGGCTGAGCAGAACCTTTGGGTTTTGCTTTTCCCACTCCAGCACCCCCCAAACCCCAGGATTTGGGATCCCTGCAGGGCTGTCAGATCCCAGCAGAGTCTGGAGCCAGTTTAGTGCATTTTATCAGAGTTATTGTTGTACATGCAGCTGGAAAAAAACAGGGAGAAAAGACACCAGAGCTCCTCAGCCACTCCAGCCACATTCAGGGCAGGAAAAGCTGCAGAGTTCAGTCCTGGGGGTTTTATAAAAACACCCTGGCCCCTGTGAGACATCAGAGAATTTGCAACAGCTTTCACTGAAAGCAGAGATGGGACAAGGGGAATGCTGGAGCCATGGACTGGAAAAGGAGAGGGAGAACCTTGGAGGATCCCAGGAGGGTCTGCAGGGAGAGAGAGGAGCCCTCAGTCCTTCCCTCACCCTGCACAAGGGAATTTGTGACAGAGAAAAGCCTTGGGGACACTGGGGACGAGGGGGAAGGGACACGGAGGGGTGGCTTTGGAGGGGACAAAGCCAGAGCCCAAAAACAGCCTGAAAACCGCCCAAAAACAGCCCAAAACCAGCCCAGAACCAGCCTGAAAACAGACTGAAAACACAGCCCGAAACAGCCCAAAACCAGCCTGAAAACAGCCCAGAAACAGCCCAAAACCAGCCCAAAACCAGCCCAAAACCAGCCCGAAAACCGCCCAAAACCAGCCCAAAACAGCCCCAAAACAGCCCCAAAACAGCCCAAAACACAGGCCAAAATCAGCCCAAAACAGCCTGAAAACAACCCAAAATCAGCCCCAAAACAGCCCAAAAACAGACTGAAAACACAGCCCAAAACCAGCTCAAAACAGCCCAAAAACAGACTGAAAACACAGCCCAAAACCAGCTCAAAACAGCCCAAAACCAGCCCGAAAACAGCATGAAAACAGACTGAAAACAGACTGAAACCAGGCCAAAATCAGCCCAAAATCAGCCCAAAACCAGACTGAAAACAGAACCCAAAATCAGCCCAGAAACAGCCTAAAATCAGCCCAAAACAGCCCCAAACCAGCCCAAAAACAGACTGAAAACACAGCCCAAAACAGCCCCAAAACAGCCTAAAACCAACCCAAAACCAGCCCAAAACCAGCCCCAAATCCAGCAGGAACTGCCCCAGGGCTGCAGGAGTACAGAGCAGCTCTGGGGTGGAAGATTGCAGGATGAGATCCCTGACAGGGAACAGAGCTGCACATTCCACCCCACTCCATCCCCAGAAAATGCTCCTGAAAAACAAAATCAACCAAAATTGAGGGAGGAAAAACCCAGGCGACACAGTCAGGCTCAGAAATCCCCAAATTCTCAAATCAATGCCCAAACCCTCCCACGGCCAGAGCAGCTGGAGAAGGGAAGCCAAACTGTGTAAAATCATTCTGGAAAGGTAAAATTAATCTGGGAAAAGCTTTGCTGCTGCCCCAATGACCCTGGCACCCCACAAAAAAAAAAAAAAATCCCAGAGGAGGGGATGGTGCCAGGGTGACAAAAAAATCAAAAATCASCCTGAGCCCGTTCCAGCAGGTGGCACTGAGAGCATCTTCAGTGCCCAAAAGGCTTTTCTGACTGAAATGGGAYGAGAGGAACCCAAAGGATTCCTTTTATAAAAACCCACAGCTCAAACATTCTGGGAAAACTCAGCACCCCAAAAAACAGAGGGATCTCAGGGATTTTTAAGGGATGAAGGCAAAGCCTGAGGGTGAGGAAGGGAGGAGGAGGAGGAGGAGGAGGATGGTGCTCACACACCATGAGCTCCTCGTGCTGCACAGGATCCTCTTTGATCTGCTCAGTCCTCAAAAAAAAAATAAAATAAAAAAATCTGCTGTGTGTCAGAGAGCTCAGGGTGATTTTGGGATGCACACAGACCCCAAAAATCTGCTCTGTGTCAGAAAGGTCAGGGTGATTTTGGGATGTACAATCACCCCAAATATCTGCTGTGTGTCAGAGGGCTTGGGGTGATTTTGGGATGCACACAGACCCCAGAACAGTCACCCCCTCCTGCTCCTGCCTCTCTCCAGGGCCATGCTGGCAGCAGATCCTAAAAGTTTCTTAAAAAAAAAAAGAAAAAAACAACCCAAAGCAGTTTCTCCACCCTTCGCAGGCACTACAGGCCACAACTGGCCAGGATCAGCTGACAATGAGCTGTTTGGGCTGCAGACACAGCTCAGGTAGAGGATGATCCCAAATCCCAGAGTCCCAGAGCTGTGAGAGGAACAGGGGAAAAATGGGAACAGCAGGACCCTGAACCCAAAGGAA